AAAAAAAAATTTTTTAAAAAAAAAAAAGCTTGCTTCCCCCCCCCCCCCCCCCCCAAAAAAAATTGGTTGCGGGACTAAAGGGCAGGTATAGTACCTGAAACTACTTTTCTATTTTAAGCAGTCTAGATTTCAAGTTCATACTGTCCCTTTAACATAACAGACTTCCAACGTACTTTGCCAACAGTCCACACAATAAGGGTCCACATATTACATATTGACACGATTCTTCATAGTGCTTCCCATAAACAATAATTTTATGCCCATATATTAAGGAAGATCAGAGTGCTATAGTACCAATAAGTCTATGGGGGAGAGGGTATAAATATACACACACAATTTCTGAGGAAGTCACCAACCCAATACAGCTCGTCTGAGGGAATTCTGAACAGCCCAGGCACAAGGCTTTCAAATATGCACCAACATGTACTAGGGCTGGGCATGTACTGATACCCCTCAGTCAATATTAAAGACACAAATTAATGTGCCATGGAGATTATATTGGGTCCTATTTGAGGTGATAATTGTAATTGCACTGGGATTGCAATACATATGTTAAATGAAAATTAGAAAGGAAAGTTAACATTACTATTTCAACCAATACAAGCTAGGAAACAGATGAGAGACAGTCTATGACTCTAGCTAGACCGTGTCAATATCTGTTCAGACATAAAGGTAAAAAAGATACTGAACAAAAACAAGAGTGTTGTTTTTCTAAAAGAGCTGCTCTAGAAATTATTTTGGCCTGTGGTATACAGGAGGTCAGAGTAGGGATAGATCTACTTAAAACGCTGCAGTGGTGCAGCTGCACCAGTGTAGCACTTCAGCGTAGACACTGCCTACACCAATAGGAAGGCTTCTCCTGTTGGTGTAGGAAGTCTACTTCCCAGAGAGGTGATAGCTAGGGAAACAAGAAATTCTTCCACCGACCTAGTGCTGGTCTATGCCTGGGGTTAGGTCGGCACAGCTACGTCTCTCAGAGAGGTGTGGATTTTTCGTACCCGAGAGACATAGTTATACTGAAGTAAATTCCTAGCATAGACCAGGGCTAGCTGATCACAGTGGTCCCATCTGGCCTTAAAATGAATGAATCTATAAACTTAGATACTATGATGTAGCAATTTCCTTGTTCTTGTCAATTTATAATTCCATGACATGGTACATATTACATGGATTAAGGATATAAGATCTCTCAGGCATGTTTAAAATGAGTCACTAATAGCTGCAACACTACCCAGCTGTGTTCAGTTTAGGGCCAAGTGATTCTGTTTGCACCCACTGAGAATTAATTGCCACAAGTTCCACAATTTATTTGTCTGATGTAATTAACATGCCAATGACCTCAGCTCTAGTTGGGTAGCTTCATATTCTGATATCAGTGCCCTGTTATACTATTCTAATATGACAGACATTACACTAACAGCTTACACCTGTTTCTTGGAGGAAATCTATTGCACAAAAAGATTCAGCTGTAAAATGTATCAAATTTATCAATTAAGATCTGTTAGTTTTAAATCAGGTTTACTCCCTTCACTTTCCATCAGATATAGGTAATCTTTCTACCATTGCAGAAATTCCAGATTTTGAGAGAGGGTATTTTACATGTCAAAGACTTTTCATTTGAACAGCCCCAGGCAAGCTCTTGTTGATTTTCTCAGGGCGTCTTGCACCTTTTTTGGACCTTAAGGTGCCTTGTGTGGTCACGGCTCTAAAAAAAACAAAACAAAACACCTCAATGACAGGTGTAGCTCCTAGCGCTCCAACTTGCTGTGCTCAGGGGGTGTTTTTTCACACCCTGAGCGAGAAAGTTGCAGCGCTGTTA